CTCAGTTCTTTAAGTGGCTGCTTCAACAAGTAGTCAGGCTCAGGGTGCTGTGGTTCAATCCCCACAACTCAAGCCAGCCAAACCTGCCCTGAAATCACTTGGAGGAAAATAAATAAATAAATATATATATACATATACATACATACATACATATAATTGCTTCACTTAAAGTGAAGAGCTGGTTAAAAAGGAAAAAAAGAGGCAGCCTCACTAATAAGTCACCACTAAACTCAAGAAAGAGGCAATCACAGGATAAGCATACTTTTCTACAGTTCTGCCATACCAACAAGAGGAATGGAAAGCCTGGACAGAAGCTAGGATGGAGGTACCCACATATAATTCCAGCTACTTGAGAGGCTAAAGTAGAGTGAACAAGAGTTTTAGGCCATCCTGAGAAATTTGGCAAGACCTTGACACAAAATGTAAAAAAAGGGCTAGAGGTATAGCTCAGTCGCAGAGCTATATGCCAGGCCCTGGTTCCAATCCCAGTACCACCTCCAAAACAATCTTAAGATACTACAGTGTTTTGCCCACTACATGTAAGAACATTACAACATAATTACCAAGTCATGACACAGCCATAGTTAACTAGTCAAATTTTAGGCTGGATAATTCTTTTGTAGGCGGTTGTTCTACACATTAAAGGATCTTTAACAGCAACCCTGGCATCTACCCATTATATGCCAATAGCACATCCCCTGATGTACAACAACCAAAATTGTCTCCACACATTAATAAGTCTTTTCCCAGGACAAAATCTAGCTGAGACCTACCAAAAGAGACAAGCATTTAATGTTTTCTTACCTGATAACTACAAGAGTAGACAACAAATCCGCAAATAACCAATGACCCTAAAATTGGCAAATCTACACTACAAAACTCCCACCACACATCTAGAAAAATATTATAAAGGTAAGTAATAAGAAATTCAAAACTGATACTGTACAAGCTAAAATCTTTCCTGGGGAATGACTGCAGCACAGTGACAAGGAACCCAGGCTCAGATCCAGAGGACCTATCTTGAAAACTCATCAACAGCATCATTTACCAGCTCAGGGGCACATAGCAAGTGACTTAACCTTGAGTATCTCAACTTCTCTCTAAATTGGTAAAAACTAATACCTACCTTCTAGGGTTACTGTGAGGATTAAGTGCTCAAAAGACTGATACAGGGGCTGGAGAGATGGCTCAGTGGTCTAAAGCACCTACTTAGAACAAGCTTGGCAAAGCATTGGGGACCGCGGTTCAATCCCCCAGCACCACATGCCAGCCAGCCCGCCCCCTGGTGGGCTGAGCTGGCCACACACATCTCTCTCTCTCTCTCTCTCTCTCTCTCTCTCTCTCTCTCAAATAAATAAATAAATAAATAAATAAATAAATGACTGATACATAGGAGACCGAAGCAATGCAGGGGAGACGAGTAACCAATAAATAAATAAATAAATAAATAAATAAATAAATAAATAAATAAATGACTGATACATAGGAGACCGAAGCAATGCAGGGGAGACGAGTAACCCAGAGGTTGCAACTACCACCAGGAGCTTCCTCAACAACCCCAAGAGTGAGATGATCCCAGAGGAGCTGCAGAAGCAGGAGGAGGAAGAATTTAACATGAGTCCACTTTCTGTGTGACCCAGTCAGTCGAGAACAACACCCAGGTGCTCATCAACTGCTGTAACAACAAGAAATTCCTAGGCCAGGTGGAGGCCTTTGACAGGCACTGCAACATGGTGCTGGAGAACGTAAAAGAAATGTAGCCTGAGGTCCCCAAGAAAGGCAAGCGCAAGAAGAAGTCAAAGCCAGTCAACAAAGACCGCTGCATCTCCAAGATGTTCCTATGCAGGGACTCGGGCATCATGGTGCTGCGGAACCCGCTCATCACTGGCAGGTATGGGCTGCCTCCTGCTGTCAGGACCTGCTTCTGCCACTTAAAGACCTGCCCTTCACCACTGTACTGATAATTAAGTGCTATGTTTAAAAAAAAAAAAAAGAAAGAAAGAAAAAGACTGACATATAATAAGTGCTCAGTAAGTATTAGCAATTATTACTCCCTTAAGCTTCCAAATTTTCAACTTGCATAACATGAAAATCACTTCCCTGACCTCAATATACAAAAACTAAACCATCCTATGTGACTACTTTACCTACTTGACAGAACTTATTTTTTTTAATCTAAGTAAGTAAGTAATAATTAAGAATAATCACCAGAAAAACAAGTGCCTTTATATGCCAGTGGTAAAGAAAGACTAGTTACCTCTAAAACCGGCAATGAGGAGCAATCAAAAACACTGTCACCACTGATCACCAAATATACTAGTCAGGGAGACCTCAATAACATGGCATACAAGTAGAAATTAAAGGTAGAACTATTAACTCTAGGAGCTTTGGGGAAAAAATTACTTAAGTTAGCATAGTGGCTCTCTTACATTAGGTTCAGATGCTTATCTCAAAAGTGGATGTCAAACTTCCACCATAATCACCTTTGTTAATTATGGCTCAATAACTCATTTCAGGAATACTGTACTACAGGAGGGATCTCAATGCAAGGCAGATTTCTTTTCAACTGTTTTCTCTGATTTTTTAGAACAGCATGGCCTTGCAATACACACTCTCTGAAGAAAGCTGAAGTGCCTTCTCTAACATAAAAAATAACTGCCAGTCATCATCAAAGTCAGAATGCATCTCAGGCCATGCTAAAATAGACAACAGATAATAAGCAAGGGGTGGGCAAGAGAAAAGCTGAGAAACAGGACAGGGGCAAGCCATACATTTGTACGCACAAGACAGGTGGGGCAGTGATCCTGGGGTACATCAGCAGGTTTTTGAGACTAGCGGTTGGCTGGTGAGAGTCTCACCCTGACTGACTCTATATGCTGCTGCCTGTGAGCCAGGCAGCTACACTGAGGATGGCAATGTGTAATAGAGGGGTCACGCTTGGAGTGCCTGCCATCCTGGTCTTCTAAATATATACTTCTTGTCATGAGATATCATTTATTGCCATAATGTCTCTCAAGTAAAGTTTCTTTTTTTTAAGGGTAATAAATGAAAATTTAAAAAGTCACAAGAATAAGAAAAAAAAATGTCACAGGTCTGTCCTGTTACAATTCTGTATATGGTTAGATTTCTAAATTTCTTTGTAAAATTATGTAAATGCTTATTTCTATGTTTATAAAATTATTTTTCCTACATATTCTGTAAGGTCTTAAAGTTCAACATATCAATATTTTATGGAAAATACCTGTTCCATGATATGCCATAGATGTTTGATATTTAGACAGATAGGGTAAACCAAACTGCATAAATTGCAGGTTAGTAATAAGCTTCTCTTCTAGAGGGTTAACAACCTAAGTTAGCAGTTCAAAATTGGAGAGAAGGAAGGGCTGCAAGGTCAGCTAACATTTTGGCCCCAGCCTTTCAAGGTCAGTGAAGACTCGGGACA